TAAACGCTAGACCATTCATGAAGGAACAGGATATTTCTAGAAGGACGTGGCGTGATAGTAGTCACGTGACCTCGCTGACGCAACAATAACCTTGCAAAATCTGCAGTATTATAGCCATGTCAGCTACGAACAGTCCAAGTGTTACCTCCAAAGAATGACACAGAAAAAAGGCACAAAACGAAATCAACATAACGATTTTCTTGATCACACGTTACTTGAAAACGGCACATATGATTATATACTACACAAATCACACCATCCTACGTTATGAGTTCTCGGCAGTTTTGTTACAGAATAAACTAATAGAAAGTAAACACATGCCACACCAGCATGTTAAAAGGACATAAAACAAAAGTCTCTAATGTTAAGAAGAATGTCTACCATATTGTTAAACCATATACCTAAAGTACTATACCTAAATTTATTAGCTATTTGATTAGAAATGTATGTAAATTTTCTGGTCGTGTTGCTGAAAATGGTATATAAAAACTTCTGTGTTTTTCAAAAATTACACGCGGATTTTCCAAATGCATTATCCCTAAACTTGTATGGATTTTTAGTTGTATTGTTAAATAGCATACGTGGATCTAGCTCTGTCTAAAGGAAGTTAGTGAATATTTTCTACATGTTTTATTGCTATATTAATATTTTAATACTACATTACTATTATTTATGTACATTTTAGGTCACATGGATTATATAGCTGTGTCATCAGTTAGTTGATGTGGATTTTCTACTAAGTTATATAGGTTTTTTACGTGTGTTTTTAAAGAGTGTGTGTATCTTCTATTGTGTAATTAGGAAGTTAACGTGGGTTTTCTAGATGCATTGTTACTAAACGTATATATATTGTATCGTTAAGATATACTTGCTTCTTTTCTAACTGTGAAATGTAGAAGTAAACGTAAATCTGTAGCTGTGTACTTAAGAACACAAGTAGGTTGCTTAGTTTATTCGTTAAAACTAGAGTAAAAATACCCGCGTTCTGCTGCAGGGTTTAAAGTTTCTCTTATAATTTACATAGGCCTCAATATATAGATCAAGTTCCTCTTTTACCTCCAGTTACTCTGTCTGTATCCTAAAACAAATCCCCTTAAAACACCTGCCCGTGGTACCCGAGCACATGTGCCACGTTTGGTCCCGCTATCTTGTGAATGGAAGTATGAACACCGTTTCAAACATGGTGCCCACGTGCTCTCTTAAGAACATAAAACCCAATGCCAGATTCGAGTTCTCTAAACATGTAAAACAATTCCTAGACCCCATCATACTTGGGTGAATTTTCTGGGAGTGTTTTAACTCCACTTGGTACCCCTTTCGTAGGGGGGATAGGTCATAAAGATAAAAACATCCCCCTGTAGCATCCCGAGTCCACTTAGCAAGTTCAGTCCTACGAGCTCCAACACTGTGGAGGGGTTTGCAGACAAACAAAGTTCACAAATACAAAACATGAATTAATATAGGATGCACACAAAGAGTTTCTAGCCGTTTTTAAAAAGAAGTAGATGTAAATTTTTAGCTAAGTTGCTACAAAATACGGGTAGGTTTTTTTAACAGTACCTGTACATGTTCTTGTTGAATAGAAGTGGGTTTTAACTATGTTATGAAGAAGTACAAACAAGAAGAACCACTAGATGTATTTTACGAAGTATGTGTAGTTTTTTTGTTTGTGGTTGTTAAGAAGAACGTATCAGTTATCAGGTTTTGTTGTACAGGTAGATATTTGTAATTGAAAATTACGTTTGTATTTTCCACCTGTGTCTTTATTAAGAGCTACATTTTGATTTTGTAACTCTACTACTAAGAAGCACATGTAGATGTTTTAGCTCTGCATATTGTTAATAGATACAGCGGATTTTCTTCTTATTAATAACAAGTACATTTTGGACTTTCTTGTTGTGATGCTGGTAACCAAATTTAATACATGGGATTTTCAATTGTTTTGTTATACGTAAATGTTTCTTTGCTGACCAATACGTACATGCAAATGTTCTAGTAGTGTTGTTGACACGTTCAAGTGGTTTTTTTTACCCTGTTGTTAAGACATTTAAGTGTTTTTTTAACCCTGTTGTTAAGACGTTCATGGTGGTTTTATAGCTCTATTATTAAGACATTCACGTGGTTATCTAGCAGTTTTGTTAGGAACTACACATGCATTTTCTATATCAGTATTGTGAAGAAGGACGTTGTGGATTTTCCAATTGTATTTGTAGGAAGTAAATAAAGAACGTTTAATTCTATTGTTCTTCAAAATTCCTTGGGAGCATTTTCAAAAGTTCGTTGCAAGGATTATTGTAATAGTATGATTTAGCCATTAACTTCAAACAGCAAGAATACAACCAATAAACAGCATACATAAGCATTTAAAAAACAGTTAATAAGAAACATGTGTTACTATAATTATTTCGTTTTCAATTAAAGTAGTTTATAGTTTTAGTTACTCAGAATAAAATGTCTAGATGCGAGCTCTTATCTATGTTCCACTTCTCAGGTAGAAATACTACTTTCAAATGAAGCCGAGAGAAAGGAATTTTATGCTGTTTTGGAGTCTTATAGTGAGTAAGTATCGCCTTGTGTATTGTTCGTATCTGTTTATCAACGTATACAATAGTTACAGCTGTATCTAAAATCAGCTTTTGTTTATTGTAGCTAGAGGCACATTTTTATATTGCCCAGTCTGCAACTTCTTTCCTTGTTTTACATTTAATCGAAGGTATAAAGAAATTAACGATATCTTCATTTTATAAGTTTTGGTGTTGCTTTCTGTTTGTAGGAAGATATGCACCTAATTCAAGGATCCACAGAAGTGCAAATATTTGTGGTTAGACACGTGTTAATTAAATCGTTTGTGCTTTTTTTTTCAGCAAACGAGCTACAATTGAAGAGTTGGTTGCTCACCTTCGTCATGTTGTTAATTTACCCGAACGACTTACTTTGTTTGATGATATTCGGTAAGATTTTCTTCGTTTATCTCTATCGAAATCTCTACAAATATTTTAGTAAAATGTAGAACACTTAATGATTTACATAAAAATAAAATATAATTACAACAGGAGTAATTGTTAATTTAAGTAATTTAACAGAACATGTGTATAACAGAATAGCACTCTGCTAAAACCAGACAGAAATTGGTAAATAATAGGCGCTAATATAGCGTGTGGTCTACAAAGATATTGTTACGACATCGAGGTCACGTGACTAATATCACGTCACGTTTTTCTCGAACATTCACGTCCTTTCCTTA